GATAGCAGTCGCACTTAAACCAGGAACGTAGCATATAGAGTTTTTGTCTTGAAAACCACATTATACCGGTCGTTAAAAATGCTAGCCAAAATCAGCTATAAATTTCGCAAAATTGGCAAATCAGCCTATTAAAAATTTATACTAAATCTTATTTTTCGGTGAGTTCTCAGTGAGTTATTCGGTCATCATCTAACATACACATGCAATTACATATTTACATAAATTCAAGTTGATTTTCTGTTTAACATAACATGAGATGACTTGTAAAAGGGGGGTGGGGAATTAAGAACAAAACACAATAATTTATAGTTATCGTGCAAACTCTTATGATCATAGATTTTTTTCTTCTTGTTATTTTTTGTATGTTACCGAATTAAAACTCAGTTAGCCAACTACGACTCGTAATTCATAATCATAATTGCACGATAACATCGATATTGGATCATGTGATGATTATATAGATTTTGAAAAATAGAGGGGGGTTATTTAATATTATGTATAGTCAACCCTCTTTAAGTGCAAGTTGCTGGGACTATACATGCTGACAAAATTATTTTGGGGTCTAAAACCCGAAATTAAAATTTAAAAACAAAATTGTTTTTGATCTATTTTACTTAAAAGACAATTTTTTGATATTTTTTTTGAAGAGACAAAATTATAAAAAACATAACTATTTAAATTAGATTTGCTCTTGCATATAAAAAATTTTAATTTGCTCTAATAGAGATGAAATATGGTTTTTTTGAAAACCTATTTTGGTGGCATGTATAGTTGGGACTAAGAAAAATTTAATATAAAAAATTAAAACTTGTATTTAGAGAGATGTTGTATTTAGAGAATACAAAATTTATATTTCTCTATATATTTGAGATCAAAAAAGGTCTTGCATTTAGAAAAAAATTTAGGAAATTGATATTTCTACATCCTATTTTTGATATTTCCATACCCCTGCATAAGTTAATAAGATTGATAATAAAAATCACTCAACATAAATACCAATGGTTACATGACAAAGCATTTTACAATAGGATCTATATCATACGTATATAATATTTATATTGCATATTAAAATTGTATTCTTGACATCTTTATTATAATAACAAGAATATTGTATCAAAAAAATAATTTATGTTAGCTCTTTAGTCTACTGCTTAAATTAGTATGTACACACATTATAACACATAAAATTCATCGTATGAAAGTACAGTACGTATGTATATACGTACGTACTTTGGCACAATTACAGTTTAGAAGACTTCAACTTCCAAAATCAAATAAAATATAAAATAGATAATATAGTAAAATCATATTATAGACATGATTTTAATAACTCTAACCTTCGTGATTTTTGACTTGATAAGTATAGCTATAATTAGCTTATATCGTAATTAGTTACGGCATATGCCACAACAGTTTTTATTGCATCTCTTCTTTATATATAGACTTATCGATTCTTTTTTAAAATATCCCTCATTATCAAGTTCATGTTTAGGGTTTTATATAAAGAATAATAAAAAATTAGAAATCAGTAAAAAAAAACAAGAAAAAGCAAAGTTATGCGTTCAACTTGAAAGATTTACCTATGTATTGTACTGCATCTTTATCTAGAGCTAAGTGTGAATTAGATCTATTAGAATGATTCAGAATTAATAATTATGTTCCTAATTTTAACTAAAATTAGCAGTATATTTGTTTCAAATAGTAATCTATGAATTCTACTTTATGATATGATAGTATATCGTTGTTTTCTGATTTTGGAATTTAAAACAGAATTAGAATTTTTAAACTCCCACTTATTTTTGAAGTAATTTAATTTTGAATCATATCATTTATTCATTCTTGTATGAATAAGTAATTTTAACTGACAATAATTTTTTAAGCTTATATTTAATAAAGCGCGAAAGAAATAATGAATATGAATATAATAAGTCTATTGAATAAACTCTACATAGTTGAGATTTTACAAATCATTAGATCAATTTCATGTTCTCTTATATTTCATTCTATAGTAATCAAGGAAGTTTAACTATTTAATTAACTATGATCAAGACAAGTTCTGCTATTATGTCCAATATTATAGCAGGTGCCACACTTTCTACCTGCTATCTTTAAGTCTTGTAGTTCAAATACAGATAGAATTCTTCGAGTAGAATTGATATTGTTCTTTGATCCAGTTGGTCGTCCTCTGGTATGTGCAATGGTCAGTTTCAACAACTGCATTGCTGGTTCTTGAATCATTCTCAAAATTTCATTTTGAGCTTTTGCTTGTTGTAGAACTGGTCAAGATTTGTATTGTTGATAAAAATCTTTAATAAGTTGTTCAAACTGATCTTCATTCTCTGCTACTAAATTTTGTATTTCCTTTTCAATCCACCACTGCTGATAAATATCACAAATATTTAAAGACTAGTTGGCCACAAGACATTCCTTAATTTTATGAGCGTATGGTATACCTATCGTTAAACGTAAAGTACCAGTACAAGGAGGAAGTAGATTTGCGGATGATACTTTGAGAAATTGTTTATGTATTTTTTTTAATGCATATGAAGAGACTTTAGTGACCAATTCACAATAAAATGGAATATTGTGTTCATGAAAAACCTGGTTTTTTCTTTAACAATCATCGCTTTAATTTCATTGTGTTGATTTTCAATTAAGAGTAGAATTTTTTCATACACCATGTTTAAATTTCTAGTTGAAACCTGTAGGTACTGTTTTAGGGTTGAATGCATATCTTCTATCCATAAGGTTATGGCATTGCCAAGATGAAAATATTTATTGATTCACGCATTAACAAAACATTCTTTGAAAGGTAACCATATAGTATGAAGATAATTTATGATGAACAAATTTTTTCTATAATTAGTATTTAATTTCTGCTACTGGGTCTTAAAGTCTTTCTCTGTTCCTGAATTCACTATACTTGATCAGCATTGAAGAAATTCACACCATATTTCTTCGGTGCAAAAATATTGCTTACATTTACTCATTATGTTCTTTTCTATATGTTATAGACACAAAATATTTTTGATTCAGGAAACACAGATTCAAGTGTGTTCATTAGTGCTAATTTCTGGTCCGTGATGATTACCTTGGGTTTTTCAATTCCATTAAACAAATGATATATTCGTACAAGCCCCCACTCATAATCTTCTTTGCTTTCATTTCTAAGGAACACAAAGCACGAGAAAAAAGTTGTGTTAAAACTAGTTACTCTAACTATATTGAGTAATAGCAAATTAAATTTGTTTATTCAGTATGTACAATCTATCAACAAAACATGTGGATAAGTTCGAGTTAACTTAATGGATTGATTATGAGAAAAAAAAAGACAGAAAATCTGTTCTTCAGAATCATACATATAATCATATTGAAATAGGCCCTTTTTAAGTTCATCCAAAAGCGCCTAAATAGGTGTTCGTCTTTGAAGATATTCATGACAAAGTTTTTTTTTCGCATTGTAAATATCTCTTGAAGTCGATATAACTGTAGGATTATTCTGATTTAAAAGAGCCAAAATTTGTCTAGAACGAGTACCAGCCTTTGTCATTGTCTTTACCTGCTCTAAGGCTTGATTATCTAATCTTCTAAGGGTTGGATGTGCTGAAGGATCTTTAGACGGCTTATGATTATGTTCTGAATCGCTAATAGTAAAAGTCCATAGATTGTTGAAACCTTTTTGGGCACGAAGAGCAAAAAGGCACTCTTTAAGTCTTGAACTAGTTTTTCTAAGACATGTTTCATCAGTATAATCTAGACGATTCTGGTAGCTTCCTCTTTGGTCACAGGTCAAGTATACTGTATTTGGCTTTGACCTGGCAATAGATATACCATATCCATTTTTAGCACCAAACATTCGAACGTGCTTTATTAATTCATTACAATTTGAAAACTCTCCAAATAGAGGTAGAGGTATAACTATTGTTCTTAGACAATCTGATTATTATGTTACTTTGTATTGTCCTGTTTGAATAAGTAATTCTAACATCTTTTTTTCTTTACTACGTCTTGCAACTGATATTTGTATGGGTAACTCCACGCAAGTGATATCTACTTCTGTCTCCGTAATACTTGTAAAAGTGTCTTTAATATCACACTCAACGTAAGTATCAGCTATTTTTAATATTTCACGTTCTTAAAGTAAAGAAAAAAATTAACTTTTTTTTTTTTTTATTTATACTAATTTTTGTTATTATATATTGTACTACTTTTACTTATTTAACTTTGAAACTACATTTCGACATCCCTCTATTTGCAGAACTAGGTTTAAATACCAGTACAAAATTTTACATTTTAAGATCAGGATAACGTAAAAAAAGAACAAACTATCGAAATATTAATAACTCAACATTATACTTATGAAACTACCTTTCGCATACTAATCAAATCATTCTTTGAAAATTTAATCGTTTAACGTTCTTAATCCAGTCTGCCGATATTTCAAATTAGGACAATGCAGATCGCATCTTTTATAGTATATATATGCTGATCAGAATATTCCAGATCACGAGAATTTTATGCTACACGAAAATTAATTCCTGAAATTGATAGTGCGTAGGATCGTAACAATAATAAAATCTGAAATACTGAAATACTACAGTACTAGTTTTTATACTTGCTAATAGGCTATAATCTATATTTATTTTTTTACATATTCATGTTATTTATTTAAAGTAAGTTATCTGGTTCTATTTATATTGATTAGATATTTATTTAAAGCATTTAATTTAATTTATTTTCAGATAACGATAAGTCTAATTGTAATA